AGAAAGCTTTGTATACAGATTCCCTCTCTAGATGACAGCTGGAGGAGAAAGTCATCAATTTCTATTTGTCACTAATGTGAAAGATCTATTGATTGCTTATGGGGTGACTCAATTTGGAAAAGAGACGAAGTCACACGCTGACCAAAATGTCGTTAATCACATCACGTGGTCACATTATGAACGGGAGCCCACTACTCAAAACACCCCATGGTGAGTCTTCCCCAAGGCACAGAATTCCGCTGGTATATTTGGATCCTGGTGGGTCCGATATATTTAATACACAGCAGAACAGGATAAGAAAACCAGTGTTTTTTACTCTCCCCCCTTGCCTCCCTCAATTTTTTTGTTATCTTCATCTTCATAACATTCGAACGCTGTGTGTTTCACATTCTCTCTGCAGGACTTGGGGCGCACTGGGAGAAACCAACCAAGTAAAAAATGGTAGTTGTAAAGTGCTTGGGGTGCTGGTAAGACACAGTGTGAAATCAATCCAAGCTCTCGCCGCTTCACCTCACAGGGAAACCTTAAAAGAGAAAGAGATCCGATTGCTACAATAACCTGCTGATGTGTCTAGTGCCACCCACGCTGAGCAGGACCCGGTCACACCATGAGCAAGCTTCTCAAATCCCCAGGCCTCAGTTTCCTCATCTGTCAGATGGACTTTGCCTGTGCCCTTAGGAAATCATTTGGGAGTAAAAGAATCAAAAAAGAGCAAGAGACGATTAAGGCAATAACGATTCCCATCTTTCAGTTCCTTTACTGGATAGAACAGAAGATGTTTAATGTGACTGCTGTGACAATGGGGCATCCCAAATGTCTCCAGGGTGAACGAGATGCAGTATGGTAAGGCAGAAAGAGAAGCTTTGGAGACAGACAGGTTCGAATTGCAGTCTCTGTGTGACCTCAGACAAGTTATTTACACTCCCCGAGCCTCTGTTTCTTCATCTATTAACATTGGATCATTAATTCTGACATGAAGGTCTCCTGAAATATGAGAAATACCTAGCACAGTGCCTGGGAGAGAGGGAGGCCTTTCCAAGTGGAGTAACTGTGGGGATTATTATTCTTTAGCACCATATCCTCAGTGCTTGGCCCACAGCACTCAATAAATACGTGTTGAGTGAATTAATGAATGAATCGTTGAATCCCTGTTTTTACCATTATAGCCAAAACTCGCTTTAGAACCCAATCAGGATCCCCAGCCTGTTCCTCTTCTCTCGTATAAGTAAGATAGATGGACATTTTCTCTTTCTCCTACTTCCTCCAATGAATCTGCCTCTTTAAGCACAGGTAAGAGCCAGAAGAAACTTTGTAACAATGATACGCAATATATGTCCTTGGGGAACCAAGTCTCACCAGGGCCATGGACTCATCCACCCACCTGTTTATTGAGCCTGTGTGACATGCTTGCCGACATCAAGTGTCAGGACCTGTGTTAGGGGGTCGATCTCCCTTGGAATTCAGAGTCTGGTAGGAAAATGCCATAAGAATTAGAGCACAACTCAGTAAGTGCTGTAACGGGGGATGGGAGAATGGTTAGGAAAAGATGATCTGTCCCTGGGAGGGACAGGGTGATATTGGGAAAGAAGTTTGCAGAGGAAGAGCATTTAAGCCAATGATGGTGGAGAAGGAGGAGGCAAAGGAGGAAGTGGGGGAGGAGGGGGAGGAGGAAGAAGATGGAGAGGAAGAAGTTGCTGTTTCCCAAGCAGAGAAGATGGAACGGAGGAAGAGCTCTACAGGCGGAGGAGAGGGATGGGAAAAGCCCGGAGTGGACCTCGGGGGCGTGTTATATCTGGTTCCCAGTGAGCAGCTGTGTGGATGAAATAAGGGGCCAGGGAAGGGGTAACGGGAGGCAGGCTGGGTAGCCTAGCATTCATTCAGCTGACACATACTGAGCTCGTAATGTGTTCAAGGACCAGGGTAGCATTTGCTAACATCAGAAACGGGATGGGAGAAAACTACAAGAGACAATGACCTTCACCTGCTGTTGAAGGTGAGTCTGCTCACCCAAAGGCTAAGGGAGCCTACTGTGGGCAACGGAGAGAGCACTGCAAGAAGACGGGGCTGGGGGGCTCACGACCACCAGCCCCACCCCTACCTGCCCTGTGCCCTCGGCCAAGTCACCACCCACTTTGGGCCTCTCTCCTCATCTGTGAAATGAGCAGACTGGAAAATGGGATCCTTAGAATCCTTTACTACTCTAAGAAATGACGATGGTCCCTTTAAGTAATGGAGGGCTGCAGAGATGGGGGGGAGGCGTCGTCTCAGGGCATTTATTAACTTGTGGCTCCCACAGTCATCACTCAGAGGACCCAGAGGGACAGAAGCAAAATCAAAAGACATTTTCAGAAGATAGATGACTGAAGGGGGCTGACATATGTGTGAGAGTTTGGGGAATTTATGCGGACAGCCTCACTGCCATAAATAAAATCCCTTTCTCTTACCCAAAACCTCATTCAGGGGGTAAACACAGACACCGTGATAGACAATTTGGCTGCATCTCCCGCCCGTGCCTCACTTGAATGAAAAACAGCAGTCCCAAGGCAGGGTAATGGGCTCACGCCTCTTTACCAACATCCATATTGTCACCAGCCGACAAGCCAGGCTGGGGATGGAGCAGGAGGGGCAATTTATCTCCAAGATTCCTGGTCCCTTCGCTCTGGTGCAGCCTCGCTCTCAGAGCCATCTACTCTGAAGCTGGGGATTTTGGAGGAACCCCAGAAAAATCCAATGTGGGGAGAAGTGACCCCTGGGAAGTGGGAAGGAGCAGCAGCCCCTCCCTTTCCCACGAGCCTCTGGAGTACTTGGGGGACCCGGCGCCATCAACACTGGTCCAGTCCAGCGGCATGGAAGGCTGCCTGCCACTAAGCACAGTTATTTGTATTTTCTTGACCTACTTCTCCTCCCATCCCTGCCCTACTCCAGATCCCCTCCGGAATCCATGTAATTAGCACCTTTCCATCCATAAAACTCCGAGCTCCTACGATAACCAAGGAGACAGAAAAACAAGCCTCGGCACTGCTGTTTTGGTTTTTTCTTTGCTTTCCTCTCCCTTTGCTGGCTTCATTCTGCTTCCTGGCCTCTGCAGGAGATGAGATCCGGTCTGACCTTGCCAGCCAGCAGGGCCCCTGGCTGGAAATCAGCTGGAAGTGGCCTGGCATGAACCAGAACTGTGCGCCAGCAGAGCTGATGGAACTGGACAAGCTCTGCTCCACGTGTGGGGTTGGGAGAACGAGGGGTCCCTCTGAAGCCCTCTGCTGTCGAGTAGCAGGCCGGGGAGGGAGCTGTCAGCTCTACTTTCTGTTTCCCTCCCGGGGAACAAGTGTCAGGAAAGCCGAGGCCCGTAAGGTGCTGCCGATTCCGGCTCCATCCCTTTCCGCTTCCCATTAGTGACAAATGGAAATTGATGGGTTACTGCTTTATCCACTTATTTAGAGGAGGGGAAAACCTGGCAGCAAATGCTGAATAACTGGAGGCACTTATAAATTAAGCATCTTAAGGATATGAACCGTTTTGCATTGCTGCTAAGCAGAATTAAATTAGGTTTTGAAGTTTCAGTATAAGTGAATGGGGAAGAAGGAGGGAAGATTTTGTTTTTAATTCCTTTTTTTAAGTAGGCAGCATGGTGAGCCGAGGGCAGGGTGAGGGAAAGGACTGAGTCACAGATCCTCGTTTCTCATCAATCAGTGGTCACTGCATATGCATGGAGAAACGTGCCCACGTGCCCACCAGGTGGCATGGAGCAGCTCGGGGACCTGCAGCTTGGCCTCTGACCCGTGATGCCTGGCTTTGCCCACCCAGGCCTCCTGAACACCATCGCCATCACGCCAACCTCTGGCATGTCCTTAGAGCCAGTCTTGAGTGCAACTGGAGGAATTTGGGAGCTTTAGGCCAACTCCCTGTGATTCCAAGTCTTGACATCTTCATTCTAAATCATCCTCTAACCCTTTCAAATTCAAGTTTAGGGTCTAGAATCCTGCCTTGTTCTTAGTATCCACTTTCCCCCCTCCCCATCCCAGTCTGGGAGGAGGGGCCTCAGGTGGGCACCTGCCTGGATAACCTGCCTGGTGTTTGAGTCCTTCTAGGGCTGTTGCCTAGCCTTGCTCAGGGGGTCCTGCTGTTGGGCTGGTCTTCTTGTGACCAACTCACCTGCCTGAATTTCTCACTGCTTTGCCCCACCTGTTTGTCCACACTGCAGATATTCCTAAATCCCAACACCCTTTTCAGGCCATCAGATGACCACCCAGTGCCTGTTGGACTGGACTGTCTCCTTGTCTCTGAGCCTGGGGTGTGTCCCCAGGACCTGGATCGACAGTGCCCCAGCCTGCGGGCAATGAGCCTTGAAGGTGGGCACAGGAGGAGGCACTTGACTTCCCAGGCACTCCGTTACCCGGGAAGGGCCAAGTCTCCAGGCAGGCACAGGGGTCCGGATGGAGTGGGCGGCAACAGCATCTGCCCACATCTAGAATGGGCACCCCGTGGCAGCCAGGACAAGGGAAGGAGCAGGTGGACACATGTCACAGAAGCATCCCTGCCCTTCCTCCCCGGAACCAGACCAGGGGCAAGCGGACACCAAGGCAAGGGCCTGCCAGGCCGCCAGGCCGCCAGGCCAGGGGCACAAGAACATTTCATCCGAACACACTCTCCAGGAAGCCTTCTTGGCTCAACCAGAGGAGAGGAGCCATGACCTCTGCTCTCTAGCCCTGGATTCGGAAGCCCTGCCCTCATCGCCCACAGCCGCCCGGAGCGTGCTTGGCTGAGTGAGTCACAAACCACACCAGGCACTTGTCAGCATCTGTATTCTCGTCGCAAGGGGAGCTGGGCAGGTGGAACAGATGGGAGCTGCGGGTCTGTCACTGCCCCACCCCCACCGCCCCTGCCCCAGCCAAACTGGGGGAGAGCAGCACGCAGGGTCTGACGTCCCCTGCGGGCACCTGGGTGTGGGAGGGGCGTCACCCGGAGCTGGGCTGCCCTCAGGGGGCCGCCGGAACATGGCTTACCGATCCTCAGGGAGTGCGGACTGCAGGCGACCATCACGAGCCACGCGGGAAGCAGCACCAGAGGCGCCGAGACGCGGGGCATCTTCCATAAATCCTCATGGAGCCCCCTGCTGGTCTGCGCATGACATAGCTCTGCGGGAGAGCGGAGGGAGCGCGTGAGTCCCTGAGTCCTGCGTCCCTGCGGGGAGCCGCCCCTCCAGCCCAGTGGCCCGCGCTACCACCCGACAGCCGCTGCGGGGAGGACCGGCAATCCCGCCACGACCCGCTGTGCAGGTGGGAGAGCTCCGAGTCTCTGTCCCTCCCCGCCCTGGCCCGGCTCACAGAAGCCTCCTCCTGCTCCCAGCCCCCAGCCATCCCGCGTCAAATCGGGGTAGGCGGGTGTGACTGTGGTTGAGTGATTCACGGAACTCCACCTCCTAAAAAATGTCTAACTGGGGATGAAAACCTTCATTGGCTCTTAAGAAACAGGAGCCACGGGTGAGCAGAAGAGGAGTGGGTAGGGAGGTTATGCCATTGTCCCGGACACAGACAGACACACACACACACACACACTCAGACACACACACACACACACACACACACACACACACACCACCCTGCCCTGCTCTCTGGGGAGCAGTGTGGGGAAGGGGCTCCACTGGAACCCAGCCATTTGTCGGTTCAGTGGCTTCTCTCTGTCACTCAACTCCATTTCCTGACAGGTAGAAATGGCATAAAGACACGTGCCTGGAGGAGCTGAGCTGAGGACTAGGGGAACACAGGGGAGGCCTGGCCCAGAGCAGGGGCTACAGAAACGCTAGTGCCTCCCTGGCCCAGATGGGAGAGGTCTCTTCCCAGCAAACACTGATGGCAGAAGCGCACATCCCGGGTCATCAGCTGGTTTCCACATCTGTAAAAAAAACTAACCCCTCCCCGTCCTTCCTCCACCAACCCCTCTCCCTCCTGCAGTGGAGGGGCCTCTGGTGTCAAAGCTAGACCGTGGAGGAGGCTGTCTCCCAAACAAGGTAGCAAGGGTATTGTCCCCTCCCTGCAACCCCCCAACACCCTGAGACAGTCTGTAGGCTGCCAGCTCCGCCCCATCACAGGGGTGAGTGTGGGGCTGGTGAGCACCTGAATATGCCAATCCCGGGTCATCCTTGGTTAGGAAAATAGTATTAAAGTGATTCATTTCCCCGCCCCCACAGCCAGACAATTCAATAGAAAAGCAGACAAAAGACTAGAAGAGACACTTCACTAACAACTATATCCAAAGGCCTTGGAGCACACTTGGAAAGGTACTTAGAAAAATGCAATTTTAAACCACAATAAGATATCACTCCTACACCCACCAGAATGTGACTTCAAAAAAAAAAAAAAAAAGATACCATCAAGTGTTAGCAAAGACGTGGAGCAACTAGAACTCTCCTACAGTGTCAGTGGGAATGTAAACTGATGTAGCTCTTGCAGAAAACGGCTCTGTTAGAGCTTGACACACACCCAAATGCCAGCAACTCTACGATAGGCATTCCCAATAGAAATGCATGTGTATGTTCAAGACATACTAGAACGTTCAGGGCAGCAGGCTTTGGGTTTCCCCAAACTTGAAATTACCCCAGTGTCCAGCAGCAGAATGGAGAAATACAGTGTCCACTCACATAATGGAATGTTACATGGAAAACAAAAAATGAATAATCAACAGCTCCGTGCACCTGTGTGGGTGAATCTCATAAGCAATGCTGAGTGAAGGAAACCAGGCACAGAAGAGTATTTACAGCATGATTCTATCTATGAAAAATACAAAAGCAGGCAAAACCGCAGTGCACGGCACAAAGTCCAGTTAGTGATTACCCTTGCGGGCAGGTAGAGACTGGAAGGGGACATGGAGGGGTCTTCTGGGGGTGCTGGTGACGTCCTGTTGCTCACACTGTTACACAAGTGTGCTCAGTGTGTGAAAACTCGTCAAGGGGTATATATACTGATGAGAATGTTCACTTCTCTGCAAGCGTGTTATACTGAGTGGAAGTTCCTTTTTATGACATCCCCCTACACACAAGTGCAATGTTCCACCCTCATCCAGCACCTCAAAGCTTCCTGTGCACAACTCATCCCCTCCGCCTGGACCATGCTCCTCTCCCCCAACCCCTGCCATTTACCAGAATCGGGTGCCTCTCGGTGCACCGTCCCAGCAGCCTGCAGTGTCTCAATGCAATGCAGCTCTTTTCCCTCTGATGTGTCCACACCAGGGCTCAGTGTGGGCTTATTAAGGGCCAGGACTGTTTCCAGTTTACCATTATATCCCCAGAGGCTACTTATACACCACGGCTGCACGGGATGGACTTGTTCAATAGATGGAAGGCCTCAAGCCACCGCCTGCTGTGGGGAGACAGAGGGCCATAAAGGATAAGGGATCAGAGCAAAGGCAACTCTGCTGTTGGCAAGTCAGGGCCAGAATCTTTATCCTTTAATTCATGGGTGTCGGCGCAGGAAGAGGTGAAAGCAAACAGTCTCGAGGGAAGATGGATAAAGTCGATTGTTCAGCGCCTATGTGGCTTCCTACTAGAATTCAAGTTTGATGGAGAAGTCCTGTTTGTCTGTCTTCTCAGGGCCCAGAATAGTGCCTGGAATATATTACAGCTTCAATAAATATTTGTTGAGTGGAAAAATGAATGGACTGTCAAAGAGGAAAGAACTGTAAAAATCTGGCGAGGTTATACGAACATAATACTAACTATAATCATTTCTGTCAAATGCCTTCCGTTTATGCCCGGTCAGCCTGCCACACGCTAATTACCATGCAGACTGCTAAAGAGGTGTCAGATTAGCCTGTGTAAATCTTATTTGATGACAGAACTCCACTCAGTCCGTGCAGGACTGGTGTTCATCGCTCATGGCCCCGAAGGCAGGCTGATCCTGGAGCCCACGTGTAGGGACGATGGCCGAGGTCCCTGTCTGCTCTTGGACCTCAGCTGTGTGACCCTGAGCACAACGATGGGAAATAATCTCCCCCTAAACCTTACAGGAGTAAAAAGAACCATCGTGTCACGTGTTGGGAAGGCTCAACGGTTTGTAAAAGTCTTTCCATGTCTTTATCTCATTTAATCCATCAGACAAGCTCTGTTACTGAGGGGGAAGCTGAGCTCCAGAAAGGTGAGGGGTCAAGCTCAAGGTCACACAGCTGTTACCAAGCAGAGCCAGGGCTAGCCAGGTTTCTGACACCACAGGCTTTTCTTCTGTCGCTTAACTGTTTGCATATGAGAACAGATGATGAAGCTTCTAGATTCTTTATCTTAAAAAAACACAAAGAAGTCTAAGATCTTATTTTCAGTTTAATGTTTCGGTGAATCTAGTCTTAGGACCTAACAGTACAGGCTTTATGAACTGACAATATTTTAATAATTTAGGAATAAAAAAGAAATCTTCCAGAGATCAAGCACCCAAGACCCCCCTCCCACCAACATCACCTCCACCTGTGGGTTATTGCCACCTGCATGGTGTCGCTTCTAAATCAGCACCTCAAGCCCAGAACACCTGCACTGAGGCGGCTGCCTCCTGAAACCTCCACCTGGAGGCCCCACGGCACTTGCAGACACACCTTGTTTTAAAGAGGAGGTATCCTCACCACCGTTCCCGCCATCTGCTTCTCCTCCTACGTTCTCCCTCTTAGTACGTGGCGCCACGATCTACGAGTCACCCAAGCCAGAAAGCTGAGAGTCACCTGAGAGTTCTCCTTCCCCAACATCATCTCAGTCGCCAAGTCCTGGCAGCTCTGCCTCCATCGCCTTCTCTCCATCACCACTGACCGCCTGGTCCAACATTTGTCAGCAACAACCAGGACTCTGCGACAGCAGCCGTCTGGGTCTCCCTCCCTCTGGTCTCTCCCTCTCGTTGGTTCTCCGCTCAGCAGACAGGGGTTCTTACCAAAATGCCAACTTGGTAGTGATACATCCCAGCCCCAAAGTCTCCCACAGCTCTCCACTGCTTCAGGGAGCAAAGGCAAACTCTTTATTCCAACAGATAAACCCTTCATGATCCAGCTCCTGCCCACCTGTCCCTACCACCCACCCCACAGTAGCTGACACTTGGCAGAGCCCAACCCCGGACTTCCCTCAGCACCCGCCTTCTGCCTGCGCACGGACTGCAGTCTCATCCCCGGATGGCCTGGAAACCGTGTCTTCCAAGCTCCCTGCGCTCCCTCCTCTCAGGCTTTTTGTGGTCCCTTTCCCATCTGCTGCCACCGCACCTGGAACATTCTTCTTCAAGGCACACACTTGCTCACGACGATGCTGCCTGTCTCCCCACAGAACCGTCAGCTGTGACGGCAGGGACGGTGGCAAGCTAGGGTGACCTAACCCACTATCTGGCACACAGTAGGTGCTCTATTAATACTGGCTGAATGAATCAATGAACAGATGGTGTCAAAAAGGCACTTTCTGTGTTTACACCAAGATGAAATAAATTCCCAGTTTGGATCGTGCATTTTGTACGGTCACTGTGGTTAAAATAGTCACTCTAAGCAGACGGAATGCTCCAGATCCAGGCAGAGGGGCCTCACAGCCATGTGTGTTGAGAAAGCGAGGGAAGCACTCACTGCCCTTCCCTTCTGTGCTTGGGGCTTGCCCTGACAGTCCCAGCTAAGAACTCGGGTTTGAATCCTGCACGGCCATGTACACTGTGGGCGAGGGAGTCGACTTCTTGCCACCTTGATTCCTTCATTTGTAATATGGGCTGATAAAAGGACCCTCACAGAATCGTTACGAGGAGCGATGCTAAGATGCGTATCGTGTGCTGCTCGAAGTAAGTAACTGTTCATGATATTATACCAGCCCTGTAAGATAACACTGCACGCGCTCTTGACAAATGTGGAAGCTGAGGCTGAGTCATTTATCCAAGGTCATGCAACCCAAGCAGTAGTGCTGAAGTTCGAACTCAAGAGAGCCTAACCGTGTGTAATCACAGATCCCAAGCTCCCTCTCCAACTAGAGTTAAATATGGAAGCGCTGGCAGAATTTATGTCCGAAGCAGACATGCCAGTACAGCCTCTGATTTCCAAGGGTCTTTGACAGTCCCCACCTCCCTAAACAGAGCTGGGCCTCAGGCCTGTATGTTAGGTAACCCAGAAGGTGGAGACCCTAAAACAGAACTTTCCCATGCAGCTGAGGACACTGTTCTTGACCCCCG